CTCAGGAATGCATGCATGGGGCAAAGAAACTGTTGAAATCTCAAACTTGCAGGAAGCCACAGGTACTCATTAGATGTTATCTTTGACCTGGAATGTGCACCAGGTGTCTTTGTAGTCCGCCATTTTCTGTCCCATATTTAGACAGTAAACAAAATGGCGTCTCAGTTTAAATGACCCCCCAAATGCGGAGCTCATCAATAATATTTCAGTGACTCAAATCTGATGGTTAAAAACAAATATTCATATCTAGTTATTGTCATTTAAGAACGCGAGTTAAGCTCTAGTAGGTTTTGTTTTTTGTTATTGATTTGTCATTGTTTTATTTAGATTTTGAATATTTAAAATTCAACTTTATCTAGAATTTTTTTAACTGTATACTTTTATGCCGCACAAATACTCATAGTTTAATTTGGGGTAAGCATGCTTTGTAAGGATATAGAAAAATGGATTTTTTGCAAAACAATGAATTGAGAGGATATAAATTATGTATCCTACATAATCACTGATTACATAATATATTGTTCTAGTTGGACAAAGTAATGTAAACTGTGACTTCCTAAATCAGAGGAGTGTTCTTTCTATTTATACTTCTACAGTCTTGAGCCTGATACTAGCCACCTCTTTACATATGGCTTATTTTGTTTTAAGTATATGGGCATATATTAATTTACATGTAGCCATGCATATTTATAGTAATTGAGTATTTTCTTGGATATCTTTTTCATTCTATATATTTTTCTCTTCTATTTTTGAAATCCAAATTATGATTTTAAAATAAGAAAAACTGTTCTACTTAAAAAAATCTTTTTACAAGTGTTCAGTTAGTATGGAATTTAGGTAAGTCAGCACAACATGACTTATAATAGTACCATAATCAGTATTTATTTTTTACTTGAGTAATGTATGTTGGAATTTTTTTCTGCTGACTATTTTATGCCCTCCTCATCTACTTCTCATTTTTACCCACTTCTCTATATCTTAGATAGACCAGTAATGACCACTTAATCTGGTTGTTCTGCTCTGAGTCTTGCTTATAGTCTGCTGTGTGAGGTTCTGTTGTAAGGGTTTCAGAAATCAGATAGAATGCTTATTTAATAAGATCTGTCAATTTGATTCCATCCCTTGGGCAAATGTCATTAATCTTAACAATATCCAAGAGGAATAAGGGAAATACTTGGTAAGTAGTCCAAATGAATGCCATAATAGCACACTAAAAAATACAAAAATAGCATAAACACACATGTACCCATATATGAAGTTACAAAACCTCAGTATTCAAATTTTTGAAAACACTGGAACTTGAATGTAGTTGGCACTCTTCCCTATTCCTAATCGTAGTTTACCTATGCTAGTTGGGCTTTTGGACTTACTTACAGGTGGTTGAGTTTAAGTGATGCCTTTGTGGGAATTTCTTCCTTGAATAGCTTAAGCATGTGAAGATCAGTGTAGGATTATTTGGGGACGTTTCTAAGCTTTTTACTTAAAAGCAAATTATCTATGAAAGGGCTTTACCAGAGAAAGAGGTAGAGTAAGGGTTGATCAACTAAGATTGACTTATTTTTGTTTATTATTACTGTCTACCAGGAATCTCCAAAATATATCCAAACTTGCTACCAGAGTCTTCTCTACACCTGAGGCTTGGAGACTGCAAGAAAATCAAGAAATGCTGGGAGGCTCCTTCTAAGTACCTCAGAAGAGGACTTACTGTTTGCCTCCATTATGCTTAAGAGTATGAACATTGAAGTCTGACTTATTTAATTTAAAAATTTGTCTCCATTATAAGCTCTCTGACCATGGGCAAGGTGGTTAAACTTTCTGTCCTACCTTTCCTCATATATTAAGTACAGAGAATTATACTGCTGATGCAGAGATATTATAAAGAATCAATACATGAATCTTTTTAAGATCATTGGAATTATTCCCTGGCACATAATAGATGCTTAATTATTGTTAGTTGTAGTTGTTGTTACCTAGAAATACCCTAATCCTGCCTTTCATTTTTAGAATTTTCTTCTTCCTTTTAGGCCTAGTTCCTTGGGAGATTCTCCCAGAAGCAAACTACTTGATAGCTTGGGAAACTGCTTGAGATATAGAACTTAGTAAAGAAGAATAGAACTAGGTGGACTGGAAATTGATTCTCAAAAGGGAAGATACCTTATAAGGGTAGATATGCCTGTTTGATTTTAGATGGAAAGCAAAAGCTAAAAACAGAATGTGAAGCAGGTTTCCTAAAACTTGGCAAAATACAAGGCAGTCATGTGTCCTAGTTCCTTTATATTACATGTTTTTTTCAGTCGGTTGGGGAGGAGATGCACACATGAGGAGTGGGCTTCTTTGCATATCCTGAACTCTACTGCCATCATGCGGAAGTAGTTTGAAGACAGCATAAACTGATGTAACTTCCCTTAAGGCCTAGTTGTTGAGGAAGGTCAGGCCTTGCAACAGTCTTTGATCCTGGGCCTCCTTTACTTCTTCTCAAAGGTCTTACAAGAGATCTGATCATTGACAGGATCTTGGTATATAACTTAGAGTGAGGGGCTAAAATTGAGCCAGCAGCTTCTAGGAGGTTCTTGCACAGGAAGTCATGGGCAAGGTTTTGTTTCCCATCCAGTGTAGATAAGATCAGAGAGATCTATATGAAGGGATACAGGTTGTTCTTGTACCTTGAGTCATAAATTACCAGTCTTTCAAATACCTTGTTGTATTTGAATACCTTGGTGTTATGTTGTGTGAATGTCTTGTAGCAATAATGTCAGATCACCAAAAATAGGCAAATTCCAGATGGAATATTACAGGAGCAGGTGTATTTGGTGAACTTCTCAGATATATATATACAAACGTTTAAAGGTCCTTTCCTTGAGTAGTGAGGGCCAGAAGAAAGTGAAATCACAGACTCAAATCAAGAAGTACTAAAACTTTTCAGGGAGCAAATATGAAAAAACAAATGGGCACCAGAAACAGTGAAAATAAACTCTCATTTGAAAAATCCTACCCTGCCAGAAGTAGCATTCCTTATGACCTTGTTTGGTTTTTCATATATGCCTGTTGTAGCAGGTACATTGTAAACAAGTGTGCTTATTTGTATAAATTCATAAACAGGCTACAAAACTGATGTCATACCAGGCTCGCAACAGTGTCTAACTGGGTTGTTGTGGAAGTCTAACTCTATTTGAAAAATGACAAAAATCAAGGAAGGCTGGGTGGAAATTGTTTACTTTGCATTAAGAGAGAGCTATGGCATCTTAATTTTTTTTTAACCTAACATCTACCAATTAAAAGACTTGCCTTGCAAATGGCTTCTAAAAGAAAGTGTCAACCAAGGATTCTGTACCTAGCAAGGCCAACTTTCAAAAAACCAAACAGAAATTAAGACTCCCCTAGAAAAGAAAAAACAAGGTGAGTTTTTATTAGAAGATCTGCCATATCATAAATACAAAAGAGTCCTTTAAGCTGAATGGAAACACTATAGACAGTAACTCAAAGCCAGATGAAGAAATAAGGAACAAGGCAAAATGTAGTTTTATAAAGACATACAAAACCAAAATGTTATAATTTAATTTTGTAACTTATTTTTTTCATATATGATTTAAAAACCAAGAATATCAGCAATAACTAAATATTTATGTTAATGGATACACAATGTTTGAAGATGTAATTTGTAAAAATAGCATAAAATATATTGGTGTTGTAAAGGTGAAGTTTGGTTATTTAATAAAAATGATTTAGTGTTAAAGTAATTGTTTTCCCCATGGAAACCAATTAAGGGAACATTTTAAAAATATACAGAAAAGGAAATGAATGAGAAGGGAATAGAACTGGGACACTGGAAAAGATCCACTAATCATAACAAGTTAGTGAGGAGTTGAGATAAATTTTCTGACATGAAGAGCATTAAGTGCCATTAGTGTTTCCTTAACAGGAATTATATTAAATAAAAATTGATTAAAATCTCTAATTTAAAGGCAAATATTAGAGGAGTAAATTTAAGAAAATATGATTCAACTATATACTGTCAAAGAGAGATTCATTTTATATCGTTTACAAATATGTTCAGAATAAAATAAGATTTTATTTTACAGAAAAAGATATTTCATGAAAGTAGTTAGAAGAGAAAGATAATAGCAAATAAAATAGGATTTAAGGCAAAATTTGTTTCAAGAGAGAAAGAACAAAATTATATATTAAGAAGTCTCAGTCTCTCAATGAGCTGTGGCCAATAAAAAATACACATTTTACAAATGAGTCCCAAAACTTATAAAGTGAAAAACTGGACCACATTAAAGAGGACTGATGAGAGTTGTACAAAAATAGTTGGAAACTTCCACATCCCACTTTAAATAATTGATTGATCATTATGGAAATAGAGAATGTGAACAAACATTGACAAAGTTTTAGCTGGATTGAGCAAGAATCAAGAGCCAACATGCTAATAAAACAAAAGATAACATTGGGGCAGTACTAGTAACATTATAGTACTAAAACAAGGAATATAAGAGAAAGCTATAAAAAAATTGTAGGCAAAGAATATGATGACTTACGCAATTTAATACCTTGCTAGCATTATGTCTTAATTATTTAGAAAAATTAACATAGCCTTCCCTAAGAGAGAAACAGGAAAACACAGGCATAATAAAGTCATACAAAGAAGTTGAAGTCGATAACATGGGAAGCGCTGGTATTCCAATTTTAAATCATGACAGTGTTGACACAGAAGTGTGCGTCCTATCCAAATGGTCCCACCTAATTGAAATTTATATTTATTTGGCTATGCGTCTTCAAGTGGCACATTATACAGCCAGCAGTATTGATTGCCTTCTAAGCACACTCTATGGCTCCCCCAATGACTTAACAGGGGAGGCTTGGTTGGTGCCTTGGCCAGAATATGGAATGGGACTTCCAGGAACTTGGTAAGTGAGCATTTTCTATAACCACTTGATTTGCTGCCTAGATTTGCACTTCTCCGAGCCCCTTAAGTGTAATCATTTTTTTTTTCCTCTTAGGTACTTGGATACTACAAAACAATTTGATAGCATGAGAAAATGCTGGGGATATAATGCTGAATGAAGAAGAGATGCCATGGGACAACTTGGTCAAGTAGAAATTGAAATCTGGAAAAGAAGATGCATGCTTGACGAGGGTCTGTGGATAGATCTGTCAGAGAACTGAGGGAAACCTAAAGCTAACTGCTAAGCATGTGGGCAGATTTTCTCAGACTGAGCAAATACAAGGCGGCTGTATTTTCCTTGTTTCTAAATTGAGTTTTTTCAAACTCAAAGGGCGGGAGAAAAATGCTTGGCGGCTGAATGGCCGGACAATATCGCCATCTTGCGGAGTCAATTTCATAAATGCCATCATCTCCACTCAAGGCAGTGCAATTGAGGAAGGTCCAGCTAGCTGGAGGCGGAACAGGCCTGGGGCCCAAACCTGGCCTCACTACCTTTTTTACTCAGTGGCCTGGGAGGGGCAGTGTACAAAGCCTGGGCCTTGGTGTAGTATGTGATAAATGATATGATGGGGGCCTAGACCCAGCCAGTTGCTGCCATGAAGTCCAGACTTAGGAAGGAAGGGCATGGGGTTTCAGTTACCTAAACTTTTGGTTAGGATTTAGAGTCCAGTGCAGATCCTTGAGATAGTTTTTCTGTGTCTATGACTTTCGGAGTTCTAGGCAGGATGAGTGACCATGTGTTGAAAAGCCTGGGCTCATTGTATCAACATTGACAGAGAACAATGCCAGATGCTGTAACTAGCCAGTGCCATTAGTAGAGTTGAGGCACACCAAAAGCTGGAATCCCATTTTCTGGAACAAGAAGTACCTGTATAGGACTGACCTGGAGTTGACATGCCGAAGTCGGCCAGAATACCTAGGAGACTGGAATTTTTTCATATGGTGGAAGTAAAAAATACAATGGGAGGCCTCAAGGAATTCTTTAAGCCCTCCAGCTATTAGTTTTTGCAGCTGTGCAGATTCCTTGTAATGCTCAGAGTTCCTTACCTGTCTTGCTAGGATTCTGGTGTCAACTCAGCTCTTGTCAGGAGGGACAAAGAGGTTGCTTTTTTGGTTGGTACTCCACTGAGTAGGATGGCATTATTTAGGTAGGCCTGAGGAAATCATTATTTACCTCATGTCAGTATTCTCTACTCTGCCAGCTTCATAGCTATTTCCAGATAAAGATTCCTATGGGACCTTACCAGGTAGCCCCCCTTTTGGTCTGGATAACTCTGGATACCAAAGAATCATAATTAAAGAATCAAGAAGAGTGGCAAAAATTTCATGGTCACCTCTCCTTACGGTGTTCTTCGTCTCTTTCATGTCCATATCTGAATTCTTAAAGAATAGAGGTGATGTTAACCTGGTGACCTTCAAGCGGCTCCACATGTTTTTTAGGTACCATCTCCCTGGACTCTAATGCTCCAGTCAGTCATTGCACATGGAAACATAAGCTTACATCAATACCAGGGCAACAGCTGGCTTTTGTGACATCCTCACTTGAGCTCTCCTTCAGGCTGGTCATCGTTGAGTTCATTGATAGTGTGGGCATTGTTGCCATTGGCAGGCAGTGGGGCCTTGAAACTCCTCTGGGAAATATGTCTCTATGGCTGTTGGTCCTATGAAGGAGACAAATGACCTGAGAAGCCCTTCCTCCTTCACCATAGTACACTTAGAGAGGAAGTCTGGACCAGATGGCCTGGGCTACCTACTGCCTATGGGGTATTGCCTGGGCCTAGGCTAAAGCCTGATCAGTTTGTCCTGATCATTTTCTTAGTAAGGTAAAGCCATGTTTATGGAGAAACTGTCTGTGTCTAGAGTTATTGGTCACTGAAATATTGTGGTTTGAAATCTCAGCCCACAGGCTGTCCCACATAAGTGATGTCATTTGAAATGGATTTTTCATGTATCTGGAACTCCTTGATGTCAGGACTGCTGTGTTCACTGCTGCTCCCTGCCTAATGGAGGCCTGGCAGTGGTTGGAAGCCCAAGGCAGTCACCCTGGTCAAACCAGTGGTAAGAGCCATGGATTTTCATTGATGTTTCTTTCTTCAGAACAGAGGGGAGCTGATTCTGTCATTCCAGTTTTTGATGGATTTGCTCAGCTGTGCAACACCTTATAGGCCCTTTAGCCTGAAAGTCTGAATTCTATTCTCTTTGTCTTGATAGGCAGAGATTTATTCTCTGCCTGTGATTTAGGGGAGAAAAGCAAATTCTTGACTGTTGAGGATCAAAACATGTTTTCTAACACCAGGTAAGAGAAATGGCAAGTTAAAGTGTGTTTCATGCTCCTTCTAACATATGTGATAAATTTGAGCCAAAGTTACAAACATGAATTCTGGAGAGCCAGTATGCACATCAGGACGTATGTAGAGATTTGAACAAAACAACTATCGGTGTCTTTCTTTCCAAGCCATGTTTTTGGAGGTGTGCTTTCAAGGTATATATAATGAAGACTTGAAATAGTAACAGTTGAGGCTTAGTTTTGATAATATTCAGCATAACTAAGAGCACATACTCTATAAACACGGCACTAGTGACCTGATAGAAGTGGATGCCCTGTGAAAATGCTAGACCAGTAATGTTAAAGCGATGAAAAACTAACCCACAGAGAAAATGCTAGACCAGTAATGTTAAAGCGATGAAAAACTAACCCACAGAGAAAATGCTAGACCAGTAATGTTAAAGCGATGAAAAACTAACCCACAGAGACTATTGTAGATGGAAATGCAGTTTCTGAAACATAGGATGCCTGATGAAGGCGGGTGGTTTTAGATCTCTTCTGGATTGCAGATGGAAAGCTCTAGCAAGTGTGCAGCAGAGTGAACTGGTTTTCCAAGCAGGGTTAAATGTAAGGCAGCTGTACTTCCTGGTACCATTGTCTCCTGCTCACATTTTTTTTTCAGACAGGATGGGTGGGGGAAGCTGAGGCCAGGCTAAAATTTGCGGCCCTATCAAGGCCTTACTGCCATCGTGAGGACAAAGTTTAAAAACAAGGTAAGTTTTCTGGCTTCGTCTAAAGAGAGATGCCAATTGGGAGGCTTGTAGCAGGAGTATCCTATTGTCTGGAGACCCACAGCTAGGAATTAGGAGGACCTGAATAGAGGTGCAAAGGGTTAGATCTTCTAGTAGCAATAAGCATGAACAAAAGGGTACTAAAACAGTGAAAGGATACAAGATAACCTACATTTTGAAAATTGCACGTGTGAAAATGGTTTACTTTAATGTCACATGAATTTTATCTCAGTAGTAAAAAGTGGCAGGGCTTTTAAAAATAGCAGTATTTGAAAGACTTATCAATAATATTTGAAAAACATCCAAACTGTAAGTGAAGAAAACTTACATTGAGGATCATGGCACAGGAGAAGTGGAATGTTTTATAAAAGTACCCATTATATCTGCATAGGGAAGTGCTAAAACAGCAAAGTCATATTAAAGCAACATTTTTCTCATGGTGATTGACTTACCTTGAATTTTGACATAATTTCTTAAATGAGTTCTAGAATAAAACATTAAAAAATACAAGCATTCTAAAGAAGACAAAGAAGTGGGGTATATGTGGTAATATTAGTTTGTGGTTAAGACTTTGAACAAAAGTACTAATAGCTTTTGTGTCTTTGTTACTAAGAGAAAATAATAGAGAACGAATTAATCCCTCAGTAAAAATGAAAAATGGTGACAGACCCAGTGAAGTCACAGAAACAGTTGAAGGCGATTTAGTAACATGGAGGATGTTTGTGCAGCCATATTAAATAATGGCTCATTAGAGAAACACACATGTCCCCGGGGATTTAAACTCATCTTAAAGTATAGATGACTCCAATTGAGGCTGTGTAACATTCAGTCTTGAGTTATCTAGACAGTATTCTTAGAGCATCATCAAAGACTGCTCCGACTCAAGGCACCAGGCTATTGGACAGCGGAATAACTTTTTTGCCCACAGTGGACTGTCCTCCCAAAACTCCTGTTGCCCAGTGATGTAGCAGGACAAGCTGACTGTACTGCAGGAGCAGTGAGTTACTTCATGACTCAGATCATCTTCCAAGATGCCTTGCTGAATTGCTATGCTAGCAAAATGGAGGAACACTGGGGATTAATATATACTCCGTAACATTCACAGAGCCAAGAAATCGTTTACTGGCATGTTTCTCAGATGATATCCCTGCAGTTACGGCACAGCACTGTAAGACCGGAACTAGTAAGGAGGACTTGGTCAAGTAGAAAATGAAATCTGGAAAAGAGAAGATGCATGCTTGACGAGGGTCTGTGTTAGATCACAGTGAGATAGCGGAAAAACCAAAAGGTAAATGCTGAGTGGGATGAGGAACTTCTTCAGAGCTGAGCAAAAACAAGGCAGCCATATTTTCTGTGACTGTCTCTAAGTTGAGGATTTTTTCCTAACTCGAAGGGCGGAGGAAAATGGTTGGAGGCGAGACTAATGGTCTGTTCCGGGATAATACCGCCATCTTGCGGAATAAGTTTCAGAAATCCCGTCACTAATGGTCCTCTACATACGGCCTACCAGTCCAGGAAGTTCAGGCCAGTGGAAGGCAAAACAGGCCTAGGGCCCCAAACCTGACCTCTCTACATTTTTTCTCTGGGGCCGGAGAGGCAGTGGAGAAACTGTAGTTTGCCAAAAGAAACAGGACAGGCCAAGACTCAGCCAGCTGATTCCAGAAAGTCCAGGCACAGGAAGTGGGGGCTGGGTTTCAGTTTCTTAAACTTTGGCCAGAACTTAGAGCCCAGTGCAGGCCCTTGGGGCCATTTGTCTTGTGTATATGCCCTGAGGTATGGTTTGCTTTTTTCAACAAGGAAATCAGGGTAGTTTTATTGATAATAACAACATATTATACCCTGCCCATAGGTATGTGGGTGAGTAAATGATTGAGCCCAGGCCTTATTTTCTTGGGATTACAGGGAGCAAACTTTCTTGGTTTCTATCATATCTCTTACTTCATTTCCTTAAACTTCCAAAATGTCCTCAAACAGTATCAGCTTATACTTTTCCATAGTGACGCATGTCTCTAGGGCAAGGTTACTTTTCTTTGTAGTAGTTTGAATGAAGTTTTGCTATGTTCTCAGACCTAACATCACAGCCCTCAGGCTCTGCATTGTGAATGTTCTCTCCCTCTCAGAAGTCCTGTGTGAGTTGCTGATAGAGGTAAGCATCCAAGTTCTGGTCTCCACTGTCCGTTCATCACAGAGCCTGACAAAGTGCCTGTACTGGCTCACCAACAGTTTGGTCTCCCTGGAGT